GCATGTGTGTATGTATCTCCCACAAATGAGCACCTCTTGAATTTGCCAACAGTCAAAAGATGGCCCACTAACATTTACAAGTTGTGAGCTTTCAGTTGGTCTCTAATAAAGTATTAAAAAGTTCCTGAAGTGTTGATAAAAATAATACATAAATACTCTGTAAAATTTACATGTATGTGGAACTTTTTGTCCTTTTTCATTCCCATAGGGTAGCTTATTGGCATCTGTCAAAGGTGAAAATCTGCACTTGTGGGATTTCAATTCTAAAAAGTTAAATATGTAAGTACAGCAATACAGTCAACTTCAAATCTGACATTACATTTAGGTCAATTCAAAAATTGAGCTGAAAGCAAGCAAATTTTNACTTCACTGGCATCCAAATCCTGTTTCTGACATTGTCTTCTCACAAGATGGTAAGGTGTTCAACGTAAAATTGAACCTTTATGTCTCAGAAATTTATGTAAGCCATTGACCAAGCTGTAGATCAGTTCTTGTTTCTGCTGTGATTGCAGCTCTGCAATGCAATCACTATATACAGCAAGTTCTGTTTGTTATCACTATCGTAGTGAAGAACAATAGAATATTGTTTTGACATAATTATATAACTGGAAAAACCAATTTTTACCTCAATTGCTGCTAATCTCGCAATCTGATTGGCTAATTTGCTATTGTTGATAGGAGTCCAGACAATGCTGCTCACGTCAATGTGTCACACACCTTGTGAGTCCACAACATTTTGACCACTGTGGTGAAGTGTATAGTCGTTGATAAGAGTACAGACCATGCTAAACCACAGTCGATTTGTTAAACTGATAGTACACTGCAATGTCAAGGCAGAGCAGTGATAGCACAGTCTCTTAAACTGCCTCTGACTTTCATTGTAGGTTCTAATATGCTATCTGGTGGACAGGAAGGAGTGTTAGTGATGTGGCAATACAAGACCCATCATCAAGAGTTTCTTCCCAGATTAGGCGCTCCCATAAATCACCTCGCAGTTAGTCCAGATGATTCTTTGACAGCTGTCAGTCAAAATGAAAATGGTAATGTATGTCTGGTGACTGTTACCAGTCTTTATGAAATTCAAATGAAAATTAAGTTTTAAAAATTTTAATAATAAGGAATTGGGGAACATCAGCTGATTACATGTACAGCTGTACCTCATTTCATTGTAGCAAATGCATTTGCTTGTATCAACGTTTTAACTAATCTCAAAGAATGACTTGAAGTTGTCCAATCTTATTCTGCCTCGCAATTGTCTGAAAACTTGTACTGACAGCAATTAGGGATGTATGAGAGGTCTCCCATTTTTGCCAACAAAAAGCTTTTCCTTCCTCTCCCTAATTAATTTTTATCCTTATTTTATCTTCCTTCCTTATCTTCCGTCTTCCATTTTCATACAATCTCGGTCCATCTTTATAATTTGCCTCCCCCTGCCTCTATTTTGAGTACAGTGAGTATGAGCTATCTGCCAGCAACCATGGCTCCAAACTACATGTACCTGTTTGGTGAATTACTAAAAAGGAAAGTTTCCTGATGGCCTTAGCATAGCTTTGGGTGGTGCATGAGAAAGCTTCTCTGTAGCTGTTTCATTGTTATCCCTCTTGAATTTCAGTTATCAGATTAATTAACAATATTGAGTGGAAGGTGAAACGTGCTATCCAGGGACTAAGACAAAGTAAGTTCAATACAAAGTCTTCAAATCAATTGTCACAATAATGTTATTGCAATCGATAATTAATTTTTCTTTACTAGATTAACATTTACATGTATATTCCTTATTGGTTACAATCATGAATTACAAAAAGTACATGTAGTTTTTAAGTAGCTTATCCAAGAAGAGAGTAGAACATTTATTTTCCCTCCAAGACAAGTTTCCATCTGAGTTTGAACTCATTTTAGACAAGAAAATAGGTAACAGGAGTTTCTTAATCATGAGATGAGTTTCCTATTCTCTTAAATTCAACAATGCTGTACATGTATATTTTACAGTATGAAAGATTTCTCTCTACAGTTGATAATCTCTACGCTGGTATCGTGTTTGATCCTCGCTCCAAAGCCTTGGTGACAAGCAACATGCCTGGAGTTTTACAGTTCTACCTACCGCTAACTGATCATCATGCATTTTCTGTAAGTACTGCTGGGACCCCATTATAAATATATATTTTATCAATACAATGATAATTACACACATTCATGTATGGCTTGGACACGAACTTAAATCAAGCTGGGATTTGACTCAGCCAAACAATAAATGCTATCAATGGTCAATACAAGCAATTGTTGCTTTATGGAAACCTTAATTCAGTTGCCTTATAAGTTGACTTATAAGTTGACTTATATTCCTTTTCAGCTTGATGTTGTGAGGCAGAATTTTCTATCAAGGACAAAGCATGAGCAGATTGTCTGTACCAAAATCGATCATGTGGCATTTAGTGATGATGGAGGCTGGCTAGCAACTGTAAGTCACAATGTACAATGCTTAATGCTAAACAAAGAATTCAGAGCTCAGAACTCTAGATTGCCAATGTATTCACTGATTTTTACTACGATTATCAGTTGAGTAAGGCGGGACGAAAGTTTGGTCACCAAGTTGTAACGTAAAAATCGTGGTGTTGTCATGAGCAACTGGCTCTGTATCCGTTGGCAACTTGTCCGCCTTTGACGTCAATTGGCAGCAAAGCGCGCGAAATTGTAGGCGATGTGACAGGTGACCAACGGCTGTTGATATTGTTACCAACGGAAACGAGGTAAGTTGCCCGTGACAACAACATGATTTTTACGTTAAAACTTGGTGACCAAACTTTCGTCCCGCCTTACTCAACTGATAATCGTAGTATTTCCTTCTCTTTTCAACCAGGTTGAGAGAAGAGACGACAAGAAAAATGCCTTGGAACTAAGACTTAAATTCTGGGAATACAACAAACAAGACCAATGGTAGGATGACATCACATATCCCTCTGTTGAACACTGTAATTTTATTCCCAATTTCTCAAACTTCTCGTTTTTCAAACCACTTTTTATGTCCCTTGGAGGTTTGAAAACTTGACATTCCACGGTAGGATTTGGATGGTATATGAGCATCCAGAAGAAGTGCGGCAGCCTCTTGGTTAGTGCGCTCGTCTCTGGATCTAGCAGTCTAGGTTTGAGCCCTGGCCAGGGACATTGTATTGTGTTCTTGGGCAAGACACCTTACTCTCACAGTGCCTCTCTCCACCCAGGTGTGCAAATGGGTACCGGCAAATCTAATGCTGGGGGTAACCCTACGATGGATTAGCATCCCATCCAGGGGGAAGTAGAAATACTCCTAGTCACTTCATGCGTCAGAAGTTTTACCGGGATAAGCTCCAGCCTGATGGGCGGCTTGGCTTGCATACAGACTTAACCTTACCTTCATCCAACAGAAGGCGTGTCTGTTTTCTCACTGGTGAAATCGAAGTTGTGTCACTGAGAAAATTTTTCCTAACCAATAGTATCATTACATGTAGTTACATGTAGCAGCTGACAAACACCTGTGTGTTTTTCATGATTAATCTTCTTCCTATTTTAGTTATGTCGCAAACACTTGTGTTGACCCACCTCATGAAAAGAAAATTGTAGCCATCCAGTTCCAGCCGCAACAGAAGACAGACAATGCTGTTGGTCCACTGGCGATGACTGCTGGTAGAGATGGAAAATTCAAAATCTGGGTTCTTGCTGAACAAGGTACAAGTATGTACAATTTACTTGTAATGGATAATAGAGTGTCTGGATGGGTCGGATTTAATGAATGGCTGAAAATTGGCGAGCTGAGATCCTACAATGTACATGAAGAACTGCAAACTTTGCTGATAGCTGAGAACTGGATGTGTAAAGTCACGAGAAATTCAACTCTAACTGAGATTATTAAAAACTGGATCATTATCATTGGATAATGCAATTCAAGAGTTTTCATTGGTGTAGCTATCATGGTACATGTATGTGATAAGCATATGTAGAATTTTTTGGGGCGTTTTTATTTTAGTTTAGTTTTCTATATTTTGTGGGCGTTTTAATAAAACAATTCTTCCACTCACGCTTGGTGCATATGAGATGATTATAGCCAACTCAGCGCTATGCGCCTCGATGGATATATATCGTGTCATATCCAACGTGCGCCCATTGGAAAACGGTAATTGTTGATTACACCACCCCATGTTGACCCTCAAAAAAGTGTTGTTGTATGTGAAAAAGCATGGCACACGGTCAGTATGATTTATCATATTATTACTGACAGATGCTATAACCTCACTGCAAATGTTTCTTGGAGAGTGTATGTACACAAATGATTTCTTATTACTATTAGTGAATGTTGTGTACTAAGACTTTGTGTATTCCATTTATAAAGGAAACAAGGTTTCTTGGTCTTGTCGATCAGTTGGTTACTATGGTGACACACCTTGTCAGGATGCAGCCTTCTCGCAAGATGGATCTCTGTTAGGCGTGGCTTACAATCAGGTTTGTTTAAGGACAAAATGTCAAAATGTGAATACGGACATTTGATTACCTAAAGATGGTTCTCAGAAAAACCAGGCACGTAAATTATAAAACCAGACAGGAAAACAAGAACAAAACATAGAACAAACAAAAGAATTGAAAACAACTGGGAACAGCTACAAATGGAACAAACGACCAACAACAATGGCGATGTCTTCTTTATTACTCCTTTATTTCTCTGTCTTACTGTGTGGTTTTTCAGTTTCGACAAGAAACCACTGACATTAAAATGCATGAAATTACTAGTCTAATGGAGTTATTGATGCATATTTACATAAGAGATGCCAACTTACGTGGTCCACCGGTCTTTTTCCCATCTGTGGCCCTATCGAAGCCTACCACAGTTCACTCCTGCTGTTTGTGGGTTAAACTGGTGCCTAAAGAAACATTTTCCAAAGGTCGCTGGTTAGTTTTTTGTCACTGACTTCTCAGCATTACCCAGGAACATGACATATTTAAACATTGATTTTATACATTAAAAATTTATTATATCCCATGTTCTGTGTCTGACTGGGAGGCGCGGTGGCCTCATGGTTAGTGCGCTCGTCTCCGGAT